TCTAAGGTCCCTGCCAACCTAGGCCATTCTGGGATTCTATGATCTTTTGCATCAAATTCACGTATTTGCTTCTTCAGCAAACAGAGGAACTGCTGTTCTGTGAAGGACGTCAGGGGTGTGTGTCAACGCAAGCCAGATGTGAGCCTCAAGGTGCCTCCAGATCACGGCGCAGGGTGCCTCGGGCAGACAGCAGCCTTGCAGGGTGACACTACAAACCACCTGGCCGCGTTCCACCAACAGCTCTGCAGTCACTGCATTCACCTGAAGAAAAGTAACAAGCCCTGTAGGAAGCCAGATCCTCCCGTTTGTGGATCCTCACAAAATTCAGGGCCGCACGCTAACCTCCTTTAAACGGTGAAAAATGGTCCTTCGGCCGCCGAAACTGAGGACTAAGATGAAAATACCCAAAGGAGCCCAGTGCCTCATCGCACACCTCAGCTCATTCCCCTGCTCTCCAGACGTCTCACAGAGCCCGCGGCCTGCACAGGGAGCTGCCAGTCATCTGAGGCACCTAAACCAACACTAGATCCTTATGTTTTGGGCAACGGAGTCTCGTTCCAGAGAAGGAAAAGTTCCTAGCTGAGTTTTCTCAGCTCAGAGTGCCAGCTTTGCTCTTACAACCAACACCCTTTGCTGCTGCTGGATTTTTTTCGTCTCTGCTTCTGCCGTTCTTACCTCTCCCTGTCCCCTCTCGCTTCTCCCCCTGCTCCCGTTCTCCCAGGGCTTCCTATCTGAGTGTTCCCTCTCTCGGTCCAGCGAGACGGGTGTTCCGACAGCTCGCGCGGACTTCAGCGCTACGCTTTCCAGCGCACGCACGGTTCAACTGACGGAGAGGAATTTACGTGGTTCTGACCCATCCTTTCAGGCTGCTGCTTCCTAGCTCAAGCTGGCATAAATACACCTACTTTACTCCCTTTCTTTAACACAGGTAAAGGCTGACAAGATATACAAATGGTGTTACTTTGGATTTGTCTCCTGTAATAGATACAATCTTAATTAGAGACGATAAGACAGTTCTCTAAGGCACAGAACAATTAAGCCCGTGGCAAGAATATAATCTTAAAAGCAAAGGACCAGATATTTTTGGAACAAAGTGTTTCTTTTTCAGAACTGTTGTGCACCTGTAATTTCAGCTGTAGTGAAATGAAGTGGAAGCGCTGAAGAAGTTAATATTCTTTTAAGCACACCTCCCATCACGACTGTAGCAGAGAACCATTAAGCCTAGAAATGTCCTTCAGGTGTTTGCTGCTTCACAGAAGAATTACATAATGAAGTTATTAAAAATTTTATCATACTTCTTAATAAATACCCTACCACGACAGAGAAAATAATCGAGCGCTGTGGTAGTTTTGATGTGTTTATTGATTTCACGTACAAGAAAGCCCCCAAGTCATTTCCTCATGCAAAATAACCCAGTGTGTGTGTGCGTATCGTTCTCTCTAAATATCAGATTCGGAGTATGAATTTTATTTGCACATAAAAATGCTTAGACTCATCTGAAGAACCAATCAGTTAACCAAACAACAGCATTTTTGAATGAATGTAAATGCTTTCCTTGAATACTCCATTAATGTAATTTGCCTAATGCTCCCGAAAATGCATTGTAGGCAATTCCTAACGCCTCCAGCTTCTCCGTTTTACCTCCCGCCCCCCTCCCCAATCATGCAATTCCACAGGAAAAGTAGGATCCCCAAGGTTGCACTCACCCTCTCGCTGGTCCTCCCACGGAAACAACCTGCAGAGGAAACGGCCCTCTCCCCCCTCGTCCACGTCTGCTTCCAGCCCAATGGCCGACTACAGTGCCGGCAATTTCAAGTTTCCCTCCCTGAGAAGGAATAGGTTGGACTCCTGCACATAAAAAGCAAAACCAAACCTTGATCGTCACAATCACAGTGTTCCAAGTTCATGCATCAATGGAGAACTGGTTTGCCCAGGTTTTATCACACACACCGTTTCCTCTTTCGGTACTGGGCGATTACCCCTCATTTAGCAGTCTTACAGAAGAATTACAGCTCCAAGAGGCTTTTTCTCTCCTCCTTTTTTAAAAAGAGCTAGGAAATCCCCAAAGAAAAATGACCTCACACGAGTCCTTCAGTTTCAGTAATTAAAAAAATATTTTAGATAAGCATTAAGAAACTGAAGTGAAATTTTACAAGCCTTCTGAAGATTATTTTTTCCTGCATTCCTAATGAAGAAGTGGTTTTTGCAGGTTTAAAGGTACTTTTTTAGTGAACATCAAACATCAGCATAAGACACACATATTATAACTGCTATAAACAACTTGCAGGCAGAATTATCTGTACTAGCACTAAGTTGATACATAGAACATTAAAACTGCTCTGGCTGTAAAGGGTAGGTTTATGCTTCCCCTATCAGGAAAGCAGCAAAAATCGCAGTTGTCTAAAATACGAATGTATCTTCTATTCAAGTCACTCGTATCTTTATACACCTGTGGTTTGCTCTTAAAAATCAACTCTGGGGCGTAACATGTTATTTCAAGAAACCTAGGGAAGTGCAACCGAGCCAGCCGTGACTGGTGAGACCGTCAGCGCTGAAAGGGTTACAAAACACAGCATTTACGCAGTCGCGATTAGTTTTCTACCGTTAATAACACCGGGAACTGAGCTACTGATTAAATTCCAAAAGATTCCCCCGTACGAGCCTTTCATCTTCGAATTGCACATTGTTTGCAGGGGCAAGTTACTCACACACCGAAGCGACAGAGGTACGTTCGCTCTAAGGGTAAAAGCTCAGAGGCCGGAAAGAACAGCGAAACACGCGGAAACAATTTTTACCCTAAACGAGGGATCGTCATTCGGGTGCCATCGCCCCGCTTTGCTCAGGAGACGAGCAACGGGCAGGCAGGCGGGTAAGGGAATCTCAGGCCGGTGTGGTTTAGCGGTAACGCCGCCGGCAGTCGCTCCTGCGGGGGGTTGTTGTGGCAAAAAGCTCGACTGCCCCCGAGTTTTCCAAAACACCCGCAAAGTTCAGCCGAGTACAGAGTCCGCCCTCGCGTTTCGAAGCGCAGGAGACGGACCGTCTCGTTGGGTTTTAGGGCTGCCCTGGGAGCGGAGCGGACAGCAGCTCGGGCGGGCTCGAGAGAGGGAGAGCCGAGACAGTTAGGGGAGAGAGGGAGACCAGCAGTCAGTAGGAAAAGCCTCAAGACCAAACCGTAAAAGTGAAGGAAGCCGTTTGCCAGAAGCTCTAAGAAAAGGGTTTTGGGTATAATTACCGCCCTGAAACTTGCTAGTCCTGTTGCTGTCATTGCCAGAGAAGGCTCCGGAGTGTCCTGCCGCTGCCGCCACCCGGAAGGCCCGGTAAGTGCCTGTGGCTAAATATAAGGGCCTCCGAAGCCATAGACTCCTGTTAGACCCAGGGTAAAGAAAGACAGGGGAAAAGCTGTGAGGGGGCCGGGAATCCGGGAAGGCCCCTAGCAGAGACGCTGCTGCCTCCTTCCCCCTCACGCAGCCA